CTTGCAGAGGTCATAGCTCAATAACCAACTGACCAATCTGAACCAACTAAGTCTTATCTTGTAAAGTGGAGCTCCTTCTATGTTATCCAGCGAAAACCTCTCGGTCGCATGCCTCGTATCTCCCCGGAGTGGGCTGCATAGATGCCTTTGTTATATCGTACGCCAATATCTTAGCGCTACGAATACTACGGCGGGGCCTGGAGTCGAACACGTGACCTTATACATTTAGTCACATGCCGCACCAATTACACTATTATGTGTAACATTTGAGTTGTGATCATTGGCCCTTCGGGGTTCGGTTTATATTTCTGCCTTTAGGTGTTTCATTCTTAGAGTCAGGGCCCATTTTTGGTTAACTGTCGGGTAGTTAGCTTTCTTTTGTCGCTTGGTGGTAGGGGTTGTTGGGTGGAGCAGTTTACTGGAAGGATTACGGGCAGGAGTAGTTTTTTCTACCCAAGAGGGCTTTTTTAACTCTGTTATTCAGCCTGGTTCTGGGGGAAGCGGTTTTTCAGGTATTATAGCTAGTACTCCATCTGCTTTTTTGTCCCATAAACAAAATCATAAATTGACTTAAATAAAAAAATAAAAAAATCTTTAGCTTTCATAACATCCTCCATCTCCACAACACCTCTGGTCATTGAAAAATATTTCCTAATTGGGAACCACTCAACACCAAGGAACTATCACCACATTTCTTTAGCCATACACTCCCCCGCTCTAGGGTGCTGGCTGATGCTTTCCATCCTTCTGCTTATAGAGGCTTCTTTTCTACTCCTTCCCCCATCTGGCATCTCGCCTTTATTAGATACAGGTCCTCTCCTCACCCTGGAGGCCTGATTGTAAGGCCTCTCTCCTCTCTACCCCACATTTCCTAGACCTCGCTTAGCATCAGCATGGTTGGCTTTGGTGGCTGAGTGATGGCTTGACAGTCAGTTGCGATAGTGGTCCTCTGCACTATCAGGACTGGCCTTGCCTACTTCTGTGACCCCAGTTGCAACCACCTACCCTATTATTTGGCATAATCTTTACTGTCTTGCCCTCTTCCTCTCCTCTCCTCCAGAATCGGCTCGCACCCTACTGCCTGAAACCTCAGGCCCTATTATTACTGAGGTAGTAGTGCTTTGGCCTGCTCCTCCCACCTTCCCTCTGCATCAGCACTACTTGATGTCTCTTTTACTTTCTGCCACCATCATGACAGCGCTGCCACTCCTCCCTGACTCTGATGTTACTACAGGCATCATCCAAACTTCTCTGCAACCAGACTTCTCTACGCTTGGGTCTACCCCCTCCCTCTCGGGGAGTATAGGCTGCCCCCTTCACTCATGGGTTGCTGGCATCTCTCACCTGTCTTCCCCACTCCACACTCAGGGCCCACCCCCGGCCAAACAACTGGCTTGCCTGCCTTGATATTGTACTGCCTCCTAGGTTGAATTGACTGACCCTGTCATGACACTTTACCAGGGTCCTATTGTAGGCCTGACAGACAGACTATATGTCTGCAGATGCCTATAGAGGCACTTGGGGGTTTTTCTATCCTATTCTTTCCTTTATTAGAAATGACCCTGAAGGATTTTCTTCTCTCTCCTGCCTTTCCTGTAGAGGACAGTCATTCCTGTATAGGATAGGGTATGTGATTAGGCCTATACCGGAGGGTATTGGGGAGGTTCTTTTGGCCCCTAGGGCACGGAGGATTGCACTTGAAATTAAGGTTTTGTTTTTGCCATAGCTAGCACTCCATGCAGGTTCTTGTACCTTAACAAAGAATATATGAGTTAAACAAAATCCTTAGCTTTCATAATTATTAGTAAATAGTAAAGTGATCTTATGAATATATTCGTTATACTTTGATAACTACTTTTGTTATGAGCTTTCTTGACCATTCTCTGAAAAACCTTATTGGCTCCAGTTATAATTCAACTTGACTTGAAATTGGCTACTGCCTAACACCAGTATTGTACCTGTTACAGCTAAGAACACTATACTAACAAATGCGTCAGCTCTGTACGCTATCCTTAGTGCACTTTACCACATCCCACTAGGGATCTCACTTGCCCTACTGCCCCCTGCCATGTTTGGGGCTGTCCCTACAGCCAGTCTACTACTCTTCAGTATATTAACTGCGATAGCCTCCATGATGCCTACTCTCTTACCTGCCCCCTTTACCCCCAGCTGGCCCTATTAGGGAATGGAAAAGAGAATGATAATGAGGTAGATATGTCTACTACTTGACCTTGGTTCCTTTTGGTACTTTGGTTTCTTTTCCTATTTACATCGACATATGCAGGGCTATACTATGTTGGTTTTCTTGGGCTAGAAGCCTGTCAGAGGACTTTTCTTTACCCTATGTGTGCTCATGATTTGTGCCTTAGGTTTCTCTTCTTATCTGTTAGTCATCTAAAACAATGCAAGAGGCTCTATTAGCTCGAAATGGAGCCAGTCACCAGACATGTCCTGTGTGGGTCTGAGGAGGTTGGAAGGCCTGGGGCCTGTTGGGAGCATGAGGCAGGAGTGGAGAATATTTTCCTTTGTCTATGTAGGTGAAATTAAGGCCTTTTATATTGCCATACCACGAGGTGCATGTAGGTTTTTGAGCCATAATCAATAAACATATGAAATAAAAATAAAAATAAAAAAACCTCTCAGCAACCAGGGTGGGGGATGCACCGGTGGATCCCCCGCTGTCAACTCATGATTCCTTTACCTTGAACCTTCTCACCGGCTTGAGCGGGGGATGGAAAGGAGGGACGGGAGTGAAGGGAGTGAAGGGAAGAATGAAAATGGAAACACTGCCACCGTACAGGGCCCGGGATCGATGTCTCGAATACTCTACCGGTATGCTACCGGTAGGGGAACAATTGTGCATGGTGTAAAGAATGCCACCAAGCGAACGAGAGATGTTAGAGTACGGTAACAGGAGTGATTATGCATGGGAAGCGTTGGAGAGACTTTCTTCCTGAGCTTGGCATTGACTCTACTCGTACATCCCGGACTGATAACCACATGGTAGGGTGGCAGGTGTACCCACCCACCGGGAGAGCCATCTGCATCACAAACGAAAGAGGGGTCACATCACTCGCTTCGGCTGGTGTTTACCGGCGGGCACTTTTGTCGCGGCCAACGATTCGTTAGTCCATGTTCCAGACTAATCTCTTCGCGGAACGGTGGGAAAGCTCATCCCACCCACCTCCCCCCATTCTTCATTTCTTCAGCCGCAGTGCGGTACTACTCGAGTACAAAAAAATATTATGCCCAAAGGGATTTTCCCGTCACTGGACGCTGATTGGTGAGAGATGCGCCCCTGTGTGATGTCCAACAAGCCTTGTGCGCAATGAAAACGGCGGGTGTTAAAAGAGAGGGAAGATGTGTTGGGGGAATGCTGGGGTTAGCTGTTGCGAGGCGGTTGTTGCTGATTCATTCATCCTCGCCCGGCATCGGCGGAGATACCAAGACCGGCTGCTGCCCCTGTTCTGAAAAGAACTGAGCGAATTCCACGACTTTCTTCACCCATTTCCGCGATTCGCCCGGCCACAGGAAAATAAAACATATTCTGCAGAAGACTTTTGCGGCATGTTCTGGTGAGGGCAGGGGTGTGTGTGAGGGTTTGTTCGGCTTGCCTGGGTCCCACCCACTGCTTTTGTAGGGGATAGCCTTACCATTTTTGGGTAACGCATGGAGGGAGAGGGTGAAGCGGAAGAGGTGGAGGAAAAGAAGCCTGGCGTGGTGCCTTGGACAACAGTAGGCGCAGCAGAAGCAATGCTACTGCTGCTCGAGTAGGAAGTGTGAGCGCCGAGATTTAAATTATTGTACGAGTACACGAACCTTCCACCCACCTCCAAGTTCCAATTGGATGAACGGGTCCCAGAGGGAGGAGGAAAAGAAAAATGAGGAAAAATGAAATAAAATAAAAAATGCCCCCCCCTGTACTTGTACTTCCGCTCGATGGTCTTCGACTACCGATATCCTAGTCTCCGTGTGTGCTCGTTTTGCCAACGACGATGCCCGGCTCGAATCCGGTACCGTATACAGGTACTTGTACCGGAGCTGTATCAGAGAATATTTATTAGAGGGGGAGAGAGAGGGGGGAGCTAAACACTTGCCCTTCTGTTTTGTCAGGTTCTCTCCTCACGAAACCAGTAGTGCCAACGCTGGCTGTAGCCTGTTGTACCGTATGGTGAGAGGATGAGAGCTGGAATGCCCGGGTGCACTGTCCCATACAGTAGTGGCACTTGGGTTCTGATCTGCTTCCAGGCTCTGTGGATTAACTTAACTTACCGTACAGGTACTGTACTCGTACCTCCCTGCTCCTTTCAAAGGTAATGTAACACCCTCTTCATATTCTACCCTGCTCCTTCTTCTAACAAGCACGATACAAGTATTACCGATATGGCTACGGTAATTTATCCTTTTTTTGTTGGACCGTTCATTTGAACACATGTGTGAAAAGGGAGGGATAGTCTCTCTCTCGAGTACCGGTACTTGTACTCGAGTAGAGAGGGTAGGCTGGTGCAGGATGTGTGCAAAAAAAAAAAAGAAGAAAAAGAAAAAAAGAACCTTGGCTGGTAGGTTATGGCTGGCGCAGACACCCAAAGCCAAAGCTCACAGGACCCGAGGACGACGCCTATAAGATCTGACTCATTTCCCTCACCCCTTCTCTCCTCTCCTTTCCTTCCTTTCTCCCCTCCCCTCTTCTTTTCCTCCCCCACACCTCATCTCTTCACGCAAAAAAAAAAAGAAAAAAAAGAAAAAGGACTCTGTACAGGATCTTTATAAAACATACCACCCTACCCCACGATTAAGATAGTTATCATGGACGCTTAATTCCTTCCCCCGATACACCCTCATACTTCGTTTTCCCAAGCTTGTACCCCTGTAGAATCCTTCACCACGCCTTCCCCAGAGATCCACGGACCTCTGAGCACTTCGCTTAGCGACATTACCCCACACCAGCCAGTCACCATTCTTCCCTCGGAACCATCGCGTTTCCCTCCAAACGACCAGCCATGGCCTTCCACAACCCCTCACCAGAGGCTTTCGCCGCAAGTACTAGCATCAGATTCGCTCCCACCGCTGCCCCCGACTCCCAGGTCACCAGCCGTTGCTCATTTCGACAGAACCAGCACTCACGACAACCAGATCAGTTTCGACGATCCCGTGCTCTTTCCGTCTCAGCGAGCGCAGCCGTCCCCGCGCACTCTCCCTAATCAGCTGCAACAGTCGCAGCAACAATCACGCCCCGCTCACCTCCCGCAACCGCGCAGAGTAAGCGAGATTGTTCACGGTCTCGGATACCCTACAACGACGTCTTCGTTCAACCATCGGCAAGTCTCAACCTCGTATCAGTTCACTCCAAGTCAGCCCCAGGATAGTTCCATTCTCACCCCCGAATCAAGGCAAAATTCTCAGCAGCAGCAACAACAGCCTATTCTTGACCCCACCACCGCTGCCCATTACTTTCTGCGCCAATCACAGGAATCCTCAGCACGAGCGTACAAAATGAAGCAGGGTATTTCTTCCTCTCCTTTCCCACCCTTCCCCTTCCCCTCCTCGCTCCCCTCTTCACCTCCCATGAATCCGGACATGTCGTGGTTCCAGAAATCCTATCGTCGCCCCCATGCCACTTGTAGAAAATCGCTTAACTTTTACATCCTAGAGCAAAATATTAAAACGATCGATCCTGACACAGCCTTCGAGGAGTGGTTCTCATCTGACTTCTCACCGCTTACTGGAGTTCACGATACCTCCTCTCCATCGGTTGGCCCGACCATCTCTCCCCAGGAGCTTCTCATGAATCCTCCCACTTCTACCGCTACCACGAATCTTGCGTCCCCCCTGTCTCTCTTTGATTCCCCTTCTGAGAGCTATGAAACATCTCCACTCTTCAATGGCGATGACGTTTCGTCCGACAGCCAATGGTTCTCGTTATTTCCTGAGACGAATCCTGATCCTGAGGATCCTGTTGTTTCTCCCCCCATGCCCAACGTCCCCCAATCGGATGCCCTTGTTGGCGACCTAGTCGGACGTCTCGACGAAGAGCGTGTTGAGGGTCTTGACTCCCCTAGCACCTCCCCCCGCTATCGCAGCCAAAGCTTATCCACACAGCGACGATCGACAACAGCTGGTGTTCGTAAGCGGGCACCTTTGCCACCCATTGTTGTCGAAGATCCGAGTGATACGGTTGCTATGAAGCGAGCGCGGAATACCCTCGCAGCTCGGAAGTCACGAGCTAAAAAGCTGGAGCGAATGGAGGAGATGGAAGCGCAGATTGAGGAACTTAAGGCTGAGGTGGAACTGTGGAAAGACCGAGCTCTTGGCCACCACCGCCGGGTCTGATTTGGCTTTTCTCGGAGGAACTCTTGATTCATTAATTTCTCTTGTATTTTTGTTGCTTGTACTTTCTTTTTGGTCACGGTGGATAATTGGGAAAGCGTGCACAGTTGGATGATTTTACTGCCTTGATTCTTGTTGTCCCATTTCGTGCTTTTCATGACACGTTACGACGCTTCATTTTTCATTTTTTCTCCATATTTTTTGGGCAATATTCTTCATTCCCAATTTATCCTTGAGTCTCATCTTCCTACAAACACGGAACTATGTTGCGAGCAAAAGTATTACACGGCGAGACTTTTGATAACGATTCTTTTGGTGAACAATAGCACAAAAAACAATACTTTTTGAGCTAAATAAATCTCAATAAGCGCGAAAGTGCACAAAACGCGCCCTGTTCGTGTTGGAAGTGCGCACATTTCTCGCAAAACAGCCCCCCCTACTTTCTGTGCGAAATGCATTACGGTCCTGTACGCGCTACTGCAGGCATGACTCGAAGGTACTTGTACAGTACAATATCCTTATGGGTGGATGCATGGGTACGTGCGCTGGGGACAGGGGACGCGGGGGGTGGAGGGGGGTGAGTGGGGGGGCGGAGTCGTCGCCATTCAAAGTGTGCATCATACTGTACAAGTAGACTACTGCAGGTAGACAGGACGGGGCCCACGATTCCCCCACCCCGCAGAAGACCGAGTGAGGCTGAAGCGGTTGCGGGTTGAGGTAGTGAAATGTACTCGTATCTTACTCGGGTACTTCGTCCCGATCACGACCTGTCACTCGCAAAATTTTCTACCATATTTGCTTATAGGAGGATTTCTATCTGATACCTCTCAAATGCTCTTTTACCCTCCACACCAAGCCCCCGTCAGGACTTTCTATCCTTCATTCTTTAGTTCATTCCTTCCTCTTGCTCTTGTTGCTCTTATGGTTCCCAACGTTTACCCACAAAGCCAGGTTGCATTGCCACAGCACATTACTGTACAGTACATGTACAGGTATTCCACCCCTGCCCCTTATCCCAAGTCACCAGCGTGCTGTTCGGGCTCTATTGAAGCTGTGCGAATGGTGTATTCGAGGTGGCTCCTTTTGGGAGAGTTTTTTCGCCGGGACATGGGGTATATTTGCGAGTTTCTTTAGTTTTTTTTATACTTTTATTCTGTTCATGTTGTTGGGGTATTGGATGGGAGTTTGGTGCGGGGGAGTGATTTATCTCCGCTTTTGGTTGACCCGATTGCGAGTTCTTTTGGTTGACTGATGATATATAGACTGCCGACCGGCTCGGTGGGGTTGCAGTGGTGGTCAGTGCGTTGGTAGAGGGTGCTGTACCGTGGAGTTGGTATTAAGGTTAATCAGTAGTGCTGGTATCATTTTCGGTTCGGGTGAAATAGGTGTTCCATGACGCCCGTTTCTGTGACTCAGGTATTCGAGTACGGCATGCCAGACTACGGTACTCACTTTACCATATAATATGTGGAGGTCGTTATTCGCGCTGCCTCTCGATTTTTTTGATTTTTTTTGATCACCACTGTGAGGCTGCCGTGGTATCGTGCTTTGTACTGTACGATCGTACTTGCACAGGCCCAGTATCTTTAACATACCCCTTCGCTCCAACACAGCCCGCACAATTTTAAATCCACCATCGGTCAGTCAACGATACCGCCCCTACTCCAAGACACGAGCACTCCCGGACCCAACACTCAATACCGTATCCTTCCGGGAGGCAGCCCCTAGTATCCTACCCGACGGCCAGAAACCGAATCCCCTCTACTACCCGCTATCCATACTACCGTACCACGTTGCAACACTGCCGGTGTAGAGGTGCATCGGCTGGCTTCTGGGACTCGGATGGCGTGCCCAACCAAGCTCGCACCTGCCGAAGAGATGGATGGATCTTGAACGTGTGATATACCGTAAGAACTCGAATAATTGAACCTCGCGCTAGAACGTTCAGAATTCCCTCTCCTGGATAGGGGGCTGAGAGCACTGCGAAAACCGACTCCCCGAGCCCCTGCTTGAGATAAAAGAAAAGTAAAAAACACCGCACCATACCAGTAGAGGCAACACCGACGTCCTAGCTCCAGGTTCAATTATTCGAGTTCTTACGGTACTGTGCTCGAGTAGAATGCAGTACAGGAACTTGATGGGAAACAGTGACGGTATAATACGGCAATTAACATAGATGGGACAGGGAGGAAACGGAACACAATTTAGACGGACAGAAAATATCATCTATTGCCTGTCAATACGTGATGTTCATCCTCCCCTATGGGGGGGGGGGGGGGTGGGTTGGGTGTGGGCGTCTCTCTCTAGGACAGGGAGGGCAATATCCTATCTATGTATCATATGGAAAATATTGAGTGTTTAGCTACTAGACACCAGCAATTGCAACCACCCGCATCTCGGGAACTATATATATATCAACGGCAAAGAATTTTTTTTTCCGATAATTGTACCCAGGTCACGCCTCTAGGGAACCCGTAGGATTTTATCATGATCTGGCTGTCTGAGAAATAGACAGGGAAGTGAGGGCCAGCCAAGTGTTTCCGAAGACTGGGGGTTTGCTTGGACGGGTATGAAGGCGGCTGTACAGTACGAATACTGTACTATGTCTTTGATAGGTATTATGGGAGGGTGGGTTCTTGAAGTCTACGTGGTCTGGTGAATGGGGCTGGGTGGGGGGCAAGAGTCACCAATTATCACAACACCCTCATCACCAACCAACCAACCACGGTAAACAACAATCATAAGCGTCGCCGCACCAAGCTTTAAAATTACTACTCTGCAAAAAATAAAAATACACTCTCTTCTCTTCTCCTCCATCACCATTTCACCCTCCTTCACAATCTCCAGTATAACCACCCAAGTACCACCACACTTTTTTCAAAAAAAAAAAAAAACTATTTACAAACCTATGTACCGCAATATACTAATAACAATCAGCCACGCATGCCAATCGTCCATTCCTCCATCCTTCGGTTCGCCTCACCCACCGTGACAAAAGAACAAGAAAGGAAAAAAAGGGAAAAATCCTAACCAGACCCGACCAGACCCGTAAAAATGGAAATGAAATGAAATGATGGAACACCGTAAGAAAGAATCGTGTCAAAGTCAAAAAGTAAATAAAGTAGGAGAAACCTGACACGAAGAAAGGAAGAATTATTATTGTGCTCCCGAGTCCAAGAGAGCGGGCGGGCAACAATATTAAAATACTTTTTTGAATGTTTAGGTTTGGAGCCAATGAGAAGAGATAGGTGAGCTAAGAAGGTAACAAGGGTGTAAAAGAGGGAAAGCAACGAAAAGGAAAAAAACAGGGCACAAATTCTGGTTTACAAATCCTAGCCGTCATAGTCGTCGTGGTTATCTCAAAACTCGGGTTTGCTTCCTCTTCCAAAGGTATCATCATACCCATCCGATATTAACTGTTATAACGATATCCAGTTTTCCGTTGTTGTTTTTTTGTTTTTTTTGTTTTTCTTTTTTTTCCTGCACTTCATTATTCGTACATGTGCCTTTATTAGTTTATCGATGCTGTTCTTTCTTTCTCTCTTTTTTCTTTTTTCTCTTTGTGCATTCATTGAGGGCTTATAGGATGGATAAGAGGTACGAGGGTAGGCAGTTAATGGATTGCCGTCTTATTCAACAACACAATCCGAAAGGTTGATCAAGAGCTGGGCAAGGCATCTCTTTGTCGCTGCATCGTCACGAAGAACTGAAGAGAACGTTGCGTCACGTAACGGCTCTGGAAGGCACTGTCTGAGAGCTTCGCGAGCACGGGGGTTATCGCTCAAGCTATATTTTTCAGTAAACCAATAATGGGGTCAGTAATTTGCGTAGAGAGTCAGGAAATCCCACTCACCACCTGAATGGACAAAAGGAAAAAGGGAAAGGAAGAAAGGGAGGGAAGAGAGGACAGAGACATACCGAAGAAAGCACCTAACCACGTGCTTGAGTAGCCTAACCGTTTGCTGATCCACGAGCTGGGTGACCATGTTGCTCAAGACAGTTCCGACGGCATAGAAGCGTTCGTAAGTTTGACAGATGTAGGCTAGTCCCATGTCGTCGAGGAGGATCTTCTGAACAATGAATATTGCGACCGTCTTGGAGAGCTCGGACCCAGTCTCCATGATGCGAAGACACAAGGGGATAATTTCAGTAGATAGGAGAAAGTTGATAACATCGGAGGAATCATTCTTGACTAGGGCCCCAATGACACCCAATGAGGTAAGACGCAAATACTCAAATGGCCTAGACTTTGACGTAGTGTTCAAAAACGGATATAGAAAAAGAGGGATATGAGCTACAAGGCCTTTTGGTTAGCAAGTCATCTCACTCCTCAGCACCCCGACGAGCAGTACCGACCGTTCAAAAAGAGTCCTCTGGTATCATTATGTGACGCAACACATTGTAACAGGGCTAAGGCGTTGCACACGCGATTAGAGGCAGCGGCGGTAAGGCTGGAGGGCATGAGCAGCGGATACACGGAGATGATCTCCTGTAACAAGGCCGTCATAACACCTAGTACACGTACGCCGCAATCAGTAAATCCTAGTCCCTAGACAACCTAGCCCCCACCCCAGACATGGATATAAAGCCCAAATCATACCAACAGAGTGCCAAAGAATCAGCGCAAGATCGTCCACCTGCTCCCTCTTCTTGCTCAACTCCAGCAGAGCAGCCTCTCTATTAGTGCCCTGCATCAACTCAAGTATCCACCCGTAAACCTTAGGATCCTCCTCGGTCCCAGCTCTAACACCCATCAAGGATAACTGCGGATTCGGAGCGGGAGAAGGCTGCGAAGGTGTTAACATAGGTCTACTAGGCATGCCAAACTGAGGTTGTTGCTGTTGCTGTTGCTGTTGCTGTTGCTGTTGCTGTTGCTGTTGCTGTTGCTGTTGCTGTTGGTGGTGCTGCTGCTGCTGCTGGGCCTGCTGCTGTTGGGCTGCATGATGCCAATTGTTCTGATCATGTGGCTGAAAGTGCTGGTGGTTCTGAAAGATCGGCTGCTGCTGCTGCTGCTGCTGCGATTGCAGCATCTTTGTGTTATAGCTGAACGCTGCCACGAGGAAGGATTTTCAAGGGAGGGGCGCGATAGTTGCGGGTGTATGGTTAGTAGGAGTGGTGGCGGTGGTCGTGGTAGAGGGGTGCAAGGAGGGAAGGTGGGGTGAAAGGTGGAGACAAGTGGAGGGAAAGAAGGGTTTGGTTGAAGGGTATATTATTCGTGCTAGTGCGAATACTGTAAGTGGCAGGGAACCAATGATATCTCTGACCAAAGAGAGAAGGGGTAAGGCCAACAGCGGTGAAAACCAGTTGGTGGGGGGAACAAAACAATAGGGAAAGATGTAGAAATTCGGGAGAAGGGTACGGATAACGTGCTAAAGCCGAGACTTGGGGCTCGGGGATTGGGAGAGTGGAGGAAAGGCAAGTTAGAATGAAGTCCTAACAAAGGTATTGTATTGAGGCTCTGCACCAGCCAAAGATATGATAAGAGGTCTGCCCTCTGCCGCCCACAGCGGCACTTAAGTGGTGGCCAAGACCCACCTTGGCGAAATGGCAACGTTTCCTCTTCGACACTCCCTACCCCCTCTTCCCCCCACTTCAACCAGAGCGAGAAGTAGAAGGAAAAAAAGGGGGGTTTCCACAAATACGGTTGCTATCTCCCCGAGAATAATATAACCCAGCCGGTATTGGCCCCGTACCTCTCCAACGCACAGTTCGTCGAGCACACACCATACACTCCTCTCGCGACAACAATTTCCCAATTTCCCCTTCATCGGCACGCTCCAATTTCAACCTACAGTACCAAGAACACGGTTGGGACCTTTTCGCTCACGACATCTCACTCGGGGATATTTAATCTAGGCTTCCGCTATATGCCATCTATCAGTCTCCAGTAGTATGAAAACTCTGCTATAGATAGTGACATTTTCCGGGAGGAAATGAAAATCTCTAATGCGAAGGATTGTGAACCCCCAATTTACGATATGATACTCGAACTCTTGCATAGAATGATATGATACACCCAATAATCATAATAAAAGGAATCCCCCCCTCTCTTTCTTTTCCAAATCCTGCCCAACCAATCCGCTCTGCGGTCAATTCCAGTATAATCCATGGTCTCCACTCCATTTATGCATACATCCAATGACCCCCAACCTTCGAATGAATAAGTATGATGAAAGTACAAAAGATGGAATAAAACTCCTCCTTTCCCAACCCCTAAAACTCCTATCCTACAACTCCAAAACCTCTAACAAACCCACACAGTACCTGGGCCTCGGTTCCAACACACTCAACCCCTCCTCCTCCCCTTGCTCCTCCCGCTTTGCCTCATCATACCAATAACCAACCGATGACGACGCAACCCTCCCCGTCCTCCCCCCACTGTTACCGGAATACGACAACTCGTAGAGGTTCACTCCGCTAGGTCTTCTTTGCAGCGTAGGCTTGCTAGCTCTCATACTTGTGCCAGAAGCGGTGGTGGAGGTGGAGCTAGTGGAAGATGCTCGGCTGCGATTGCCGAAGCGCGTGCGGACGGATTTGGGGGAGAGGGAGGTCAGCGATGGGATGCGCATTTCGGTTTTGGTTGGGCTATCGAGGCCGATGTTTGATAGTAGATTGAATGATCTAGTGAGTGGACAGAAGGCGCTGCCTTCCCTTGATTGGGTTATTCGTGATAGTGGTGAAGAGTGGGGGCAGGACGGCCAAGTAAAGAGCGAAGGAATGAATAGAAAAAGGGCTATAAATGATTGAAGGGGAGGGATTATGATATCGTGAAAACAATGGCCGGCAGGTGTCTCCTGAGCAGAGAAGGGTAGAGAACGGGGGATTAGGGGGGTGGGATGGCGGCGGATGGAGAGAGCAAGTCAGAATAAAACTCAAGAAAGGCACTCTCTCTTATTAGAAGAAGGAGAAAGAGTAAGGCAACTGAAGTCACGGAGCGAGGGCCGTTATCACAATTCGGTAACAGGGTAAACTCAGGAGTCGAAAAAATGCATGGGTATGAAACGCCTCGTCTGTCACGGATATTGCAGATTGGGTTCCACACATGGTCACACCGCGCTCCCTGACCACATATCTCCACCCGTTCTACTCGAGTATTCATTTATTATCCATCAGGGATCAGATCCCTCGCTTGACATTGCGTGCCATGATTCTACATGTACGGTACTCGAGTACAGAGTACAAGCATTAACCCCAGAAAGCACGCAGGTCCCATCCTCCGCGCCCCTTATTCACCTATCAAAAGAAAACACTTCCTATTTGGGACAGTGAAAACTCTGCATTTTCCCCACCATGATTATTACACAAAACCTTCTTTCTACATCGCTTAGGCTTCAAGGCCTTTGCATCTCAAGCTACCCTTCTTATGCTATTGAGCTTCTTTTGGCACCAATGCTTTTTGTATTACATGATATCTGCTCCAAGCCTATACCTAGAGCCCCCTCTATGTGGTCCCAGTACACAACCTCTATCTGTAGTAGCGACAGGTCCAACCCTACTGGTTGCATCTCTGCTCCTCCCCCTTCTGAGCAAGAAACTGCCATCAAGGGTCTCCTCTCCTACGTCACTGATGGTCTGGGTTAGAACTCTGATATCTTTTCCTCTATCTTTTCTCCCAACTTTGAGGAGTATAACAATGCTAAAGAGGTGATTGTCCCCCTTTTGTCAGCCCTCATTACAATAGTGGACCACCTTACCAAGTCTGTCTCCTTCCTCTCTGCTAAGGTCAATGGCCTTCAGATTCCCCAGCCAGTCCAGGGCTCTGACCCAGCACTTACAGCCTCTCTTTGTGACTTTTTATCTAAGGTAACCTCGCTCGCCTCTTACCCTCAACTGGCTTCCTTCCTGACTCCTACTCTACCAGTTCATGAACCTACCCCAATGGTATGGAAGACTACATATGGCTTGCCAGGATTAGGACTTAAAATCCGGATTATGAAACTAGTCCAGACTTTAAGTCCAGTTGTGTTTGGCTTGCCAAGATTAGACTAGGATTTGCACCTTAGTATTAGATCAGGATTCAAAGCCTGGACTTTCAAGAACTGTGTCATATAAATTTTACCCTAAAGCAACTACATTCTATATAGTGTACTTTTTCGACTTCAGTAAATAGTTCATACCATGACATGATAGTTTTTTTATTTTTATAATCAGATTCTATATACACTAAAACTATAAATTTTCTGAAAACATGTTTTACCTTCTGGCTATTTTTATTTGTTTTCACAAACACCAAGAGTGCTGCTGATAGCAGCAATCTTCTGCTACTTCAAGTTGTCTTCTACTATTATAACTTGTTTTAAACTTTTATGAATTGATAAAGGTTTATTATAATATGATTGGAGAAAAGAAAATAGAAACAGGTAAGATAAAAGTAAAATGTTAGAAATTATTCATTAAACTGTCATACAGAAATATCCTGATAAAGTAAATAGTAATATAAATTCAAATATAAATAGCTCCTCTCTTATAATATTTCTAATTGTGAAATTTTTTATAAGGTATAAAAATTTAATAGATTATTAATTAATAAAAGTCTAAATCTAAATCTTGTTATATTTTGTAAATCTAGAATTTAAAGTCCAGACTTTCCAGGATTAGACTACACTTAGGATTTTAAGTCTGGACTTAAAGTCCAAATCCTAGTCTAATTCTGACGAGCCAAACGCAGCCTGAAAGGCTTGTCCAGTCTCTTACTTCTTCCTGCACAGTCTCCTCAGCTGATATCCCCATCTGTATAAATGGCAAGTGGTATGGTAATCCTGAGGCCTATACAAAAGCATACGAAAACTCTTATAAGGCTATAGTCTACTATATCCTCTTTCTGAACACTTCAGAGTCATCCATGACAAAGGATCAATTCCACCTCCCTGTTGATAAGAATTTTCTCCCGGGTCCTCCTCTTGGGTATAAAGTCTCTCCCCTGTCTCTCCTCTCCAATAACTGAGCCAGGTAGCCAAGTCAGGAAGAAGAGCTCTGAAATATAGGACAGCTGTCCAAGTTGTAGTAACAGGTAAGGAGGTCAGCCCATGGGCTCCCTTCACTGTTTCTGGCTGCCCATCACCCTATTCATACCTCCTACTTGATCCCCACCTTCTATAATGACTCCATACTATAACAGGGGCTCCTTCAGGTAGATGGTTCCTAAGGATGCAACTGCACTGAACTTTGAATCTCTTGAGTACAGCTCTTGTAAAGTGTAAAGAATAAAGGTAAACAGTAAAACTTAATATTGTTAAGCTCGGACTTATCTCAATTAAGGTCTCTCGAGAGGATGTTGATTGTGTCAGGATAGGAGAGTTCTCGTATAATCTTTAAGTAGTGAGACTTATACCAAAAACTCCTCCATCAGGTTACCCCAACTAACATGAGTATGCCCTTCTCTGTAAGGGTTGCCTGGCATCATTACTGTGTTTCGGAAGGGCCTAAGGTGTCAGCGCACTCTAGCAGAAATCTCCTATATGCATATCAGTTCATGTGAGGTGTTTACGAATACCCTTACCAGAGTAAAAACCTCTGCGCATTGGTGTCTCGTCAGTGGTTAACTGTTGAGACACCTAGGAAAGCTAACTAAATGACTCTCTTTCCATTTGTCATGACCTATGCAAGCATCCATAAACATCTGCTGTCATCTGGTTAAGTTCTATCTATCTTGATTGTGAACTTAGAAGGTTTACAATGCTCCCACTGAGAGCTGTAGCAGTGGCGGAACCTGTGGGTGCTACCCATGGTCTCTTACCCCTGGCACACCACTCACTATGATAAGTATCATGCTAATGGAGTTCGCAAACAACCTACAAAGAGCCTATGGCAAAGGGGTAAGTATGGGCATGATTGGCGTAAAACCTTCCCGGATGTCTCCGGCACAATCTGGGACTACACTGAGGACCCTTCCAGATAGCTTACGCTAACTCTGTTGCTATTAGTCCATTTTACTCTGTTCTTTTTGGAGAAGGTACCTGACCTTCGCACCTTGGCCCCCTTATATATCCTGTGAACAGCTTTCAGTCAGACAGACAGCAGCGATGTATACAGTGTTATGGACATGTCTTTATAGACTCTATTTAACTAGTATGATGGCAACTTCATCCATTTTGGTCCAGGACACCCAGGGCGAACCCTGGGGCTGCAGGTACTTCTTAGGAGTAATTCTTCCAAGTTACAGCTTGTTCGGAGCATTATAGCTCCTCCTGTAGTCTTCCGATCAATATACAAGCAAGTGTCCATTGATTGTTGTTGCATAACAAATAATCCTGATAGTTTCTAGAATTCCTCCAAGAACTTTTCTGACGAAAGGTAGGGTAATAGTGTCCCAAAGGTAGGGTAATAGTGTCCTAAAGGTAGGGTAATAGTGTCCTAAAGATAGGGTAAGTATATCCATGGTGACACGAAACTAGTCTCCATAGTAGGGTAACATAACTCTTTTAGACTGGGTAACCTCACCTGACCTTCTGATCTATCCTTAGGCTGTAGCGAACATGGTTACGTCAATCCCGCTACTTAGATATACCTATTCCTTAAGTGCCTTCTGTTCCTTGGGATACCTGGACCATCAGATATCCCTTGGACATGCGCCGGCATGTCTGCCTAGTCTATCATGTAACCTCTTGGTCTGATGTATTGGTATAGATATAGGTCGTCATAACTCTATAATGTAGGGTCGTTACAAATACATATGGCTGCTTCCCTTCCCGATACTGTAGTCTCTGCTCTCGAGAGACTAAGTAAGTTCATTCCCTCTGGTTGGCTGCCACAGTCAACCAAAATGGGGTTGTCATGCTTACTACTGACCTACACACCCTGGCCTTCGGCTACTTCTTATATTTTTCAGCTCTTATGACAAAGCTGAACCAGTTCTTCCCCACTAGAGACAATTACTACTTGGAGTTTAGGACTGCCCCAGTCTATACTAATCTTCTTATCCACAACCTCCAAGTCTTAATACTTCCAGGGGACCATACTGATCTTTTTGACAAGCTTCAGGAGTCTATTGGGTATGCTGTTAGAGCTACCCTTTTCAAAACCTGCTTCTTTCAATCAGATCTCGTTCTTCATACAGCCAAGCTGACTACCTCCATAGTGGTAGCCATCTGGCCCTGTGAAATTTCCCTCCTTGATAACTGCATCCACCTTTTTAATCAGTCCTGCAATGTTTATTCAGCTTATCCTGCCTCTTGAGATATATAGTGCTGTAGCTGTAGTCTGTTTGATCATTCTAAACTATTATGTAAGTAGCCCTCTCCTACTTACCTGCTCTGTATCCAGGCCCACTCCTGGTCTGCTTATCACTCTAACAGCTCTACCTACTCCAGTTAGGGCAATCTTATGCTAGTAGTCGACTGCTGCCTACCGACTCCTGCTCATTGTGCTAACTGCAAGGGTCCCCATCCTACCTACTACTCCTCTTGCCTGGTCGGAGTAGAGATCTATGAAGCTGCTTGCCTACCTTGGGATCCGGTTCTCCCTGATGAAGGATTTCCTTGTAGCCTGTCTCTTCCTCCTCATACTCCATCCTGTATTGCTCATTCTTCTTCTTCTTAGGGTATTGTATACAAAAGACAAGTATTTGATCTCTTTCCACTGCTATTGGCCTGGGCTGCTTTCTTGAGGTCCTTCAGTGAACTTCCTGATATGCCCACCCCAGCTACCTCTGCTTCCTCCTGTGTACCTCTGGTGGTTCTCCTACTCCAAAGATAGCTTTTCCCTCCTCCTCAAGCTGATTGGGCTGATGAGACCAATAACTTCCATAACTTCATTGATTAATAGAGTAATAACCTTTGCCTCCCTTGCAAGATGCTTCATCCTGCTTGTCTTTCATTTTGCTACTAATGTACCTAGCTTTTCCTGTATTCAACATAATTGCCTCGGCAGCATTTATGTGTTTCATACTTTGTTATCTTTTTTTGTTTTGGTTCAGAATTCTCCTCTTATGATTGCTCTTTAAGATCTCTTTTTATGGAAGGGTACCTTGCCTGTTGCTCAATCCTATAAGTGT